AGGCTGGGAGCCCAGCCCAAACCAGCTATGTCCAGCTTAAACCAGGCTGGTCAAGCTGGTGTTAGCTGGTCATCTCCCAGCCTGACCAGCTAAGACCAGGCTGGAAATGGCTGGAAACCAGCCTGGAAATGGCCAAAACCCCTCTAAAACCAGCCTGGTCGACCAGCTTAAACCAGCCAACCAGCCTAGGCTGGTTAAAGCTGGATTTTTCAGCAGGGTTAACAATAAACATACAGTTCTGTGCAAAAGATTTAGGCCGACATTGAATTTGTTGTTTCAACGATGGTATAAAGGATATATGTGACCCTTTACCACAAACCAGACATAAGTATTAACATTTTTTTGTCAATTTTTAATAAAATTGAGATGTATACATGTTGAATAAGTGAAGTTTATTTATGAACAAATTTTGAGAGGGTCACGTGCTTATGATTGTTCACAGATGTTCCAACTTTAGCTAATGACTAATTATACTATCAGACGATCCTTAACTCACTATAAATAACCAGACTTTTCTCATCTCAATATCTTCGTCTTGAAGAACTGTTGAAGAGCTGTTGTTTACATTTTAAAATAAACCAGTATTTTAAAATGCAATATTTAATATGCAGACACAAAATAGACACGTCAATTATTATTTTTATCAAATAATAATTCGGTCCCACTTAACTACTATGTAATTACATCAGAAAATAAATACAATGTACTTACTGTGTTTATAATGTATTTGAGAACACTTGTGGTGCTTTTGAGTTGGGATAGAGGTTGGGTTATGGACAGGTTTGGTGGTATGGGTTGGTTTAAAGGTGGGTTAAGGTGTAAGGGAGGGTCAACAGCGTATTTACAAATGTAATTACAAAAGTTAATTACAGATGTAATTACATACATGTATTTAATCAAGCATAAGTACACAGTAAATACATGTATTTACACAATGAGTACATTGTAACAAACTATTAATTTCTGTGTAAGTACATATTAGTTAAGGCCACTTAATATAAAGTGGAACCAAAAATTCAATATTAATCTGACCAGTTAACCGTTAATATTTGGTTAACGAGTGGCAGTTGTCGGTTGGCAAAATTAACCGAAATGAGCATCCCTACCTGACACCATTCACTGCCATAACATGAATCACCAAGAATCACAGATTCAGCTTAAAATCTTTAATGTTCTACTGAAGAAAAAAAGTCTACATCGTGGATGACCTGTGTGTAAGTAAATTAGTAGGAAATTCTCCTTTTTGGCTGAACTATCCTTTTAAGAGTCAAATGTTCTGCTTTTTCAGATACTCACCCCCTGACAGTGTGCCAAACGAAACTTCTTTGTTGTCCAAACCATGAAAATGATTGAAGCTGAAAAACAGCACATATAACTCATCATGACCAGGTCTCTTTATTGAGCTCTGTTTATTGATATTTCATGCCTCAAACTCACCCAGAACAGCGAAGATGAGTGTGTTGGTGAAGTGTCTGTACAAAGACAACTTCACTGGGTTTTTTCTGAGCTTTAGAGTCTTAATGGTTTGTGCCAAACTGACAAATATGTGAGATATCGTCAAGGAAATGTCTCATACATTGACTTACAGAAACAAAAGGATAGAGTTATTGTTAAGCTAATTAGTGTGCATAACCTGTGACATGTTATTAGTGATCACAGACCATATTAAATTAGCAAGTATCCTTAATACACTAGATAGAATATATATCCAAAACGCATGCACACTGATTGAGTTGATTATTATTGCATTTAAAAGTTTGATTATATTTTAAAACAAGTATTTTGCTTGAAAAAACAACAAAAATTTGAAATATTATTAGTAATTGTCATTAGTAATTAATTAAAAAATTAAGATTATTCTAGTATGACGATTTGATGATTAAAGAAAGATTTAATATTATGTCAAAACTTTACAGTCTAAATGGAAATCAGCAGCATCCCACACATATATAGATATTATTAATCGAATGAATTAATGAATTAATTAAAAGTGAATGAGTGAATAAGTGAGTGAATGAGGAAGTATATGAGCGAGTGAATGAATAAGCAAGTAAGTGAATGAATGAGCGAATTAATTAGTGAGTGAGTGAGTGAGTGAGTGAGTGAGTGAGCGAATGAATAAATGAGTAAATAAATGCATGAGTGAATGAGTGAGCTAGTAAATGAATGAGTAAATGTATGATTTACTGAGAATGTGTGAGTGATTGAGGGAGCGAATAAGTGAGTGAAAGAATATGTGAGTCAATAAATTAATGAGTGATCAAGTGAATGGATGAGTAAATGTATGAGTGAGTGAGTGAATAAGTAAGTGTGTGAGTGAGTGAATGAACGAATGAATGAGATATTAAGTGAGCGAACGAATTAGTGAGTGTGTGAATGATTGAGGGAGCGAATAAGTGAGTGAATGAATATGTGAGTCAATAAATTAATGAGTGAGCAAGTGAATGGATGAGTAAATGTATGAGTGAGTGAGTGAATAAGTAAGTGTGTGAGTGAGTGAATGAACGAATGAATGAGATATTAAGTGAGCGAACGAATTAGTGAGTGTGTGAATGATTGAGGGAGCGAATAAGTCAGTCAATAAATAAGTGAGTAAAAGTTAGTGATTGAGCAAGTGAATGAATGAGTGAGTAAATATGAGTGAGAGTAAGAGTAAGTGACTGAATGAGTGAGTGAATGAGCGAGCAAACAACCGTATAAGTGAGCAAGTGTATGAGTAGGTGTATGAATGAGTGAGTGAAAGAATGAATTAGTGAGTGTGAGTGATTGAGGGCATGAATAAGTGAGTCAATGAATGAGTGATTGAATAAATGAATCAGTATATGCATGAGTGAGCAAATGCATGAGTGAATAAGTGAGCAAGTGAATGAATGAGCGAGCAAGTGTATGAGTGAGTGAATGAGTAAGCAAGTGAATGAGTGAGCAAGTGAATGAGCAACTGTATGAGTGAGTAAATAAATGAGTGGGTGAATAAGTGAGCAAGTAAATGAATGAGTAAATATATGATTTACAGAGAATGTGAGTGACAGAGGGAGCAAATAAGTGAGTGAATGAATAAGTGAGTAAATTAATGAGTGAGCAAGTAAATGAATGAGTAAATGTATGAGTATGAGTGAGTGAATGAATGAATTAGTGTGTGTGTGTGTGTGTGTGTGTGTGTGTGTGTGTGTGTGTGTGTGTGTGTGTGTGTGTGTGTGTGTGTGAGGGAGCAAATAAGTAAATAATCAAGTGAGTAAAAAATAAGTGAGTGAGCAAGTGAATGAATGAGTGAATAAATCTATGAGTGAGTGACTGAATAAGTGAATATGCGAGTGAATGAGTGAGCAAACAACCGTATAAGTGAGCACATGTATGAGTTGAGTGAGCAAGTGTATAAATAAGTGTATGAATGAGTGAGTGAATGAATGAGTGATTGAGCGAGCGAATGAATGAATTAGTGAATGTGTGAGTGATTTAGGGGCGTGAATAAGTGAGTCAATGAATGAGTGAGTGAATAAATGAATGAGTAAATGCATGATTAAGTAAATGAGTGAGCAAGTGAATGAGCAACTGTATGAGTGAGCAAGTGTATGAGTAGGTGTATAAATGAGTGAGTGAATGAGGGATTGAGCGAGTAAGTGAATGAATAAGTAAGTGGGTTAGCAAATACATTAGTGAGTGCAAGAGTGATTGAGTGAGCAGGTGAATGAATAGGTGACTGAATTAATAAATGAGTGAGTAAATGAATGAGTTAGCAAGTGAATGAATGAGTGTATAAGTGTATGAGTGCGTGGGTGAATCTGTAAGCTAGTGAATGATTGCCTGAGTGAATGAGTGAGTGATTGAGTGTATGAATGAGTGAATGATTGAGTGAGTAAATGATTAAGTGAGTAATTGAGTGAGTGATTGATTGAGTGAGTGAATGAGTGAGCGAGTGCATGATTGAGTGAATAATTCACGAGCGAGCAAGTGAACGAAGGAGAGTGTGAATAAGTGAGAGAGCTATCGAGTGAGTGAATGAGTGAGTGACTGAGTGAAATAGTGATTGAGTGAATAAATGAGTAAATTAAATAGAGTGAGTGAGTGAGTAAATGAGTGTGTGACTGAGCGAATGAGTGAGTGGGTGAGTGATTGAGTGAGTGAATAAGTGGATGAATTAGTGAGTGAATGAAAAGGTGAGTGAGTGATTGAGTGGATGAATTAGTGAGTGAATGAATGGGTAAGTGAGCAAGTGAGTGTGTGAGTGAATAAGTGAGTGAGTGGATGAAATAGGGAGTGAATGAATGAGTGAGTGTGTGAGTGAGTCTGTGAGTGAATAAGTGAGTATGTGGATGAATTAGTGAGTCAATGAATTAGTGAGTAAATAAATGAGTGAGTGAGTGGATGAATTAGTGAGTGAGTGTATGAATGAGTGAGTGTATGAATTAGTGAGTGAGTGAGTGAGTGGATGAGTGAGTGAGTGAATGAATTAGTGAGTGAGTGAATGAATGAATTAGTGAGTGAGTGGATGAATTGGTGAGTGAGTGTGTGAGTGAATAAGTGAGTGAGTGGATGAATTAGTGAGTGAATGAATGAGTGAGTGTGTGAGTGAATAAGTGAGTATGTGGATGAATTAGTGAGTCAATGAGTTAGTTAGTGAATGAATGAGTGGATGAATTAGAGAGTGAGTGTATGAATGAGTGAGTGTATAAATTAGTGAGTGAATGAATTAGCGAGTGAGTGGATGAATTGGTGAGCGAGTGAGTGAATAAGTGAGTGAGTGGATGAATTAGGGATTGAGTGAATGAGTGAGTGAGAGTGATTGATTGAGTGAGTGAGTGAGTAAGTGAGAGAGTGAGTGGATGAGTGAGTAAATAGTTAGCATCATGCCTGGTAAGAAAGTCTTCAGGTCTGTTAAATAAGAAAATAACCCAATTCCCCACAAATAAGGCATCATGCAGGAACACATTAGAGCCCAGCAGACAGATAATGCAGGGGCAGAGAGACAAACACTGCTTCCCAAAAGGATATCCACCAACACAGAGAGGAGTCAAGCAGAGCCAGGGGAATGTTGGCTAGCAGGGCCAGGTCAGAGTCTTTAGCCTGAGAAACACAGATGCACAGAAGCGGGAAAATTGAGGAAGAGCAAACAGTAGGAACGGCTCCTTCTTCACAACTATAAAATCAAGAAACAAAACTAAGGTGACTAAAAAAATATACCTGTATCCATGAAATAAAGCGCACATATTATACTATTAGAGCTATTATAAAACTACATTACACACCTAATGAAAGTTAATATCAGAAACAGCATAAAACGTTCACAAATAAACCTTATTGTATAGTACTGTTTTCAACTGAAGTCACAATCTAAGAGGTTTGAAGCTCTGTTTGAAGGATATGAACCAGATGGCAGAGGAGTCAAACACCGCTAATATAACATAAGTGATGAGGGCTGGTCCGTTATCTCGACCCTTATAGATCAAAATATAGCAGTCACACACATTATTCACAACAAAAACACAATCATAACTACAGTATAATGTCCATATAAAGCATCATGAAACACTCAAATGCATAATAACAGGAAATTTTGTGTTGCAGATCAGAGAAGAAATGGTTAGCATCTGTTTATTTTAACTGGAGGGAGAAACACTTATTTATTTTTTTCATTTATTAAGTTTGTACACTTCCTGACTAGTGTTGTTGTCTATCCAAGTTTTAGGAACAACAAATAACTTGACATCTTGTTGATCATTTGTTATCAGAAGTGGCTTAAATGAAAGGCAAAGGCCTCTAGATTACGCATATTTTCCCACAATAAAATATGATCATGCCTTGATTTTGAATGATTTCATTAGGACAGTAAGGTCTGACTTAGCTTAGACAAAAGTCTCGTCACTGAACAGAAAAAAAGTCCAGTGTAGAATATAGTCATGTGGGAGGTTGTAGGAGGGGGCGGTTATGGGGGTTGTGCGTTTGCTGCCCTTACTATTCTGCCACCCTAGGTCGCCTCTATAGACACGCCGGCCCTGCTGACTCCCATGAGCTTGGAGGACTGCATCCATACATCTCTGCAATGACTCAAATCATGTATTAATAAACTCATCTGGAATGCCAAACAAAGCATTCTTGCAGAAATTCTAGAGTTTATCAAGATTATTTGGATTCTTTTTCAATGCCTCCTCCATCTTAGCCCAGACATGCTCAATAATGTTCATGCCTGGTGACTGGGCTGGCCAATCCCGGAGCACCTTGACCTTTCAGGAACTTTGATGTGGAGGCTGTAGTATGAGAAGGAGCGCTATCCTGCTGGAGTATTTGCTCTCTCCTGTGGTTTGTAATGTAATGGGCAGCACAAATGTCTTGATACCTCAGGCTGGTGATGTTGCCATCCACTCTGCAGATCTCTCCATACTGAATTTAAATCCAAACCATGAGTTTTCCTTCACCAAACTTGACTGATATCTGTGAGAATCTTGGGTCTATGTTGGTTTCAGTAGGTCTTCTGCAGTATTTGTGATGATTATAATGCAGTTATACCGATGACTCACCTGACCTTCTGACACTTTTCTAAATGATCAACTAGAAGTCAAGTTATTTTCTGTTACTCTTACAACTGGGTCCACAGCAAGACTTTCGTCAGGTAGTGTAATTGTGTAGCTTATTAAATAGCAGGTCTGTGTATCATAATTATTCATTAGTCTGTGTCCAATGAGATGCCACTTTGTTTAGTTATTCACAACAGCATGTGTTGATATTGTCATGGCAAATGAGTATTTTATTGAATTTGAGTGGCAAAAATTCTCATTCGTATATATCATTGAGTTTATACATACAATTAAATTTATGCAAGATATTGTCAAGAAACAAAAGACTAGAAAAGGGCTGGGTTACTGTTAAACTAATTGCATAATGTGAAGTTGTCAGTAATCATAGACCAACTAAGGGCCTACTCACACTATGCTATCCGAACCATGCCCAGGCCCGTTTCCCGGATCGTTTGAGAAGTGTGAGTGCTCTGAATCGGGCTCAGACATGGTTCAGTTGGCTGGCCCTGGCCCGGTTGGAAGCGATTTGCCAGAGCGAGGTTCACTTGGGCTCAAAACTGAAGACGAGACAAGACTTTAAGGGACTGTTTCATATGGATTTATTCATTAATCATTCTTACTGTTTAATGAAGGCAAACTGTTGTAGATTATTAAAGACGCAGACCCCTCACTGCACGACAGCTGCACCTTCAGCAAACCTCCTAATTCCAACAGCAAGAGGGCTTTATGATTGTTTTACGAGCGTTAAAAGGGGCTGAACTGTACGGCGAAATATAATTGAAATATATTAACTGCGTGTCATCGCATATCAAACAATTAAAACGATATAACTAAAGCAAACGTGCTTCGGCCCGGTTCAAGGCAACTGTACATAGTGTGAGTACGCCCTAAACAAAGTATCCTAAATATACTAGAATAGATAAGTGAATAGAAGTGTTTCAAAAGTAAAACTTTGCATTTAACTGCATAAAAGACACTCCTATTATAATAAATAAAACTATAATATACCATATAAATATATTTATTAATAACAATAAAGCTACAGCATTGCATGCGTTTACGTGCAGTCAACTAAAAACAAGTATTTTCCTTAAAAATCAATGTAAAAATCCCTTTAAAGGGAAGTACAAATTCAAATGGCTCTACATTTATTTGTGCATTAATATCTAAGCTTTGTGTTTATCTGTGTAATGTGAGATGAGTTAAAAAAAGTGTGTAGAATATGCCTTCCATGTTGCATTTCTCAAGATTATAATGGGAACTAATGAGTGCTGAAAACTACTGTTTCATGACCCATATAATTATGCATAACAAACAAAAAGTACTGCTGGTCCAAGATTAATCGCATCCAAAATAAAAGTTGGTTTTGACATAATATATGTGTGTAGATGCACGCATGTATTTGTGAAAATGTTTGTTTATATGTACAGTATTTTACAGCATGGATTAACGATCAAATTAATTAAGGCTGAAAAGTACATAGAGAGTTTGGAGCAAAATATGTTGCGTTCTTTTCCACACAGGTACTTGACTGGCCTGCCTGTAGTCCCGACCTGTCTCCAATATAGAATGTGTGGCGCATTTTAAAGCAAAAAATTTGACAATGAAGACCCTGTACTGTTGCCCACCTTAGGACTTGTTTGCAGGACGAATGGAAAAAATGACACCTGAAGCACTTCATCATTTGGTGTCTTCAGTCCCTAAACCTCTTTTAAGTGTTGTGAAATTGAATGGCAACATTAAAGTGGTAAAGGATCTACTTTTTTTTAAATGTGTTGCAAGAACCAAAATTGGAATATGTGTTTATTTTGGAAAAACATACAATTTTATTAATAAGGAACACATTAAATAATGTTTGTTGTATTGCCTGCAGTGAAATACAAGTTCACTTTCTTTTTTTTATTTGTGTTTCCCATACTGTGCCAACTTTTCAAATTTTGTCAATTCTATATAAATTTAAATACTATTACATACTACTTAGTAAAGTTTTGTTTTCATGTAAGAGTCTTTAGCCCCTTTCGCAAATACAGACCTTTCCGGAAAATTACCAGCAATTTTCTGCAAAAGTCTGTATGTGTGAACAGGCCTCTTTCGAAAATACCGGTAAATTCGTTCTGGCTTTTTTCCGGAAAGAGAAGTTGTAACATTACTGGAAATTTGCCAGAAAGCTGCGCTGTGTGTACGCAGAAGGAAGATTGCGGGAAAGAGCGTGTGCACATCTAGAACATGCTGACTAAGACGTCTACTTTAGCCAATCAGAACACTCAGACGCATTCACGCCAGCGCAGTTTGTGAGAATAAAAGCCTGTAAATGTTTTTCCCAGACAATTAGCAGCTAGATGTTAGTCAGATAATGTTTCTATCTTTCTTCTTAATGCCATCTGTGTAAATAATAATCAATAAGATGCCGTTGTTTTTAGGAATGTAACGGTATTGTAAATACCGTCATACCGCAATATTAATTTTTTTCGATATTACCGAAGTCGCATGACTCGGTAAAACTATAGGTCTTCTGAGAAAATTTGCTCAGGCGAATGAAGCGAACGGGAGGTAGCGAAAACTACAATTGCCATCAGCCCATGCTTGACCATCATCCCTTGCGGTCTGTTGTCGCTACAGATCCAGTAATGCGGAAATGGAGTGTGCTGCTAGAAGCGGGGATGAAAAGAGCTGGAAAACTCTAAGGCCCTGCTTACACTAATGCGTTTTAGTTTGAAAACGCATAAGTTTTGCTATCCAGTAAAACTTACGGTTTCACGGCTGGAGAGGCCGTTTTCATTCTGAAACGCTGCAGCTCCGTCTCAGTGTGGATGATGGAAAATGGAGACATCTGAAAACGGAAGCGGGGCTGCAGACATTCGCCTCTCTGATTGGGGCTTTTCCTGAATATTAAGTAGCCTAACACGCACAGTTCAGTCCTGCATCTTCTCCGTGTAAGTTCAGACTTCGCAAGTTTGATCAAGGCTGCAGTCTCTTCTTCTCAGTTTGATATGGAAAAGCAGATTATACCGAGGACACGCGTCAATCTTCACAGGGAACAGTGTACTTTATAACTTCATTCACATCACCCTGGCTTCGTTGTTTCACTTTCTCAACAATAAAATGTAAACATGATTTAAGGAACTGCCTATTTTCATTTTAATATTAGCAACTTAGACAGCAGAAATGTTGAGGCGTCGTGCTGCATATATGAGCGTCATCTTCACTGTGTGGATATTTATAACAAAACGGAGCCAATAACAACTGCCTCCTTTCAATTTCAGTGAAAATACGAAACACAGCCTCTCTTTTGCTGAGTATCAGTTTTAAGAATCGATAATGGCCATTTTAAAAGTATAACATACAATAAGTTTATACATTATAGGAAATAAAGGCAAGCGATCAGTCAATATACAGAATGTACGTGGTTACATTAATCATTAACTTATCTTTGCGCTCAGCCAAAACACGTTACCTGAGAACAAGTAATAGATTTCAATGACCAAAGTCAGGGAATATGTCGTTAGATAAAGACAACAAGATAAATGAAATATCCCGTTTAATAAATATAGTGAGATTAGATCCAGCGGGAGATGCTTGATGAGAAGTCCGACTAGCAGAGCTCTCATCTGGGTAGATGGGCTGAGTGTGATTAAATGTTGAATGTGATGAGTTTTCAACAATACTAAATTGAAACTTTATTTTTTACATGGTTTAATATTTTTTTTGTATTAAAATTGAAAAATTGAAGTTTCTGTTTCAAAGCTTACAGATAGATGGCTAATTTGTATGTCATTGACACTTTTGGCACTTTTTTGGAGTATTTTCATAAGTTTTGTTTTTTCCTGTAAATGATTCAATAAATACCGTACCGTGACATTCATACCGAGGTATTACCGTACCATGAAATTCTGATACCGTTACATCCCTAGTTGTTTTTTTACCTTTAAGCTCCGATGCGTATGCACATGAAGCAGCCAGTGAGCGCCATCACACACACATATTATGAACATCTCGACATGGTAAAGTGTTCCCCTATATGTTTTCATCGAAGTTGTTTAAAACACTGATCCATCCACAGAGTTTGTAATGTAGTAAAATGTTTACAAGTTCAAGCGCAGACATTTAGAGCTTATTTCTGGTTAATGATGTCAGAATTTAACGGTATTTTGGAATGGATGTGTAAATGGTCTTTTCTAGAAAAATTCCGTAACATCCTTGCCTGTGTAAACAGCGCTCTTTTGAATCTACCGGTAAAGTCGTTCCGGTAATTTTTCAGATATTTACAGGTATTACTGTGTAAAAAGGGCTTTTATTACATATATAATAATTATATTTAATATACGCACTTTTCTTACGTCAAACTTTTATTTTGGATGAGATTATTCACAATTTATCTTTGCCCAGCAAAAAAAAAAAATATATATATATAAATATGTATATAATATTTAAAAATGCTAGTTTGTCAACTTTACCCCAGTGATCCTCAGAACGCCCTCAATGGCAGCGAATGCAAAGTAAAGCACACCGAGACCAACCACTCTGTGCATGACAGTGCCTAGACGAGGTCTGAGAGGACACAGAAACATCAGAATCATCTCACACTCTCCTAAAAAAAAATTGCATAGATGCTGCCAATCAATGCTTTCATCACGCACTTGACAATGCCGTAGCCCAGACTGACGATGATGACGAGCAAACGAGCCAAAGTCCTTTTCAGAGCAGAGACGAGCTCAGCGAAGATCAGCAGACCCTGAGCTGGAGAAAACACAAAGATATTAATAGTTAGACAAGAGTAACCTTACAGATCTATTAAAAAAAATTGTGTACAAAAGGCGGTGTGATTTTGGATGCAGAGTACTTAATTTCTAAATGTCATTATGAGCCTGATCATACACCCGGCGCAATAAGGTGCAAGACGTGTTTGGTGTGATTTGTTGCTATTTTCAGACCAGCACAACAGTATTTTTACTGCTTAAATAGCAAATCCATTTGAGCCACTATGTGGACTCATTTGTTTGCTGGTCTGATAAGGAGATGTGTTAAGGCGCATTGTTGGCGCGTTGCTATTTTGAGGAACTGAAATAGACCACACCATTGACCAAGTAAAAGCTACTCTAAAGTCCAGAGCAGAGCGCGTTAGTTATGTGCCTATGCAGGTCCAAATACTTACACATCGCTTAATACACTTACAATTTCAATTAAAATGTTGCAAAAATAATTAATCTATTATTTTCAAGGGGCTTTTAAAGTTTATTTGTGACAATTTGCATTAGTATAACGTGATTATTCTTCACAGTATTATTTATTATATGCATATTTATATTTGTTTCAATAAAAACAGGTCTAGATTTGTCCACCTGTCGGGTTTGGTCCAAATGTGGCATAAGAATAGCATGTGTGTTGTAATGATTGATGGGTCAAGTGACATTAATCATGTGAGACACAAAAAAAATCACTGATGTATTCTGATATTCCTATGCGTAAAAGTACAACTCTTAATGATGAAGTGAAACGTAAGAGAAAGGAAAGGCGTCTCCGACAGAGGGCGCGGCGAGCAAACAAATCAGCTGGACGAACTCTCTGTGAACCCCTTGCTACTTCAGATGACCCTCTTGCTAGTAGTCGAACTCTGAATGAACTCCCAACTTGTACTTTTGCTAAACTTTCTACCGAGTTCACACACCTGAATTTGAGTGCATAACTATATAGCACATTATAAATTAAGGCTTATATTAAAATGCCTAAATGTTGATTTATATGATACAATGTACTCTTGATGACTATATATCTGTCTTTTTACTGTTCAAGTGATTTAGCATGCTCCTTGAATGTATGATTTAAGTAGTCTATGCACCCGTGTTTAGGGTTGATTTATGAATACTGTCACTGAGACAGTGAGTATAAAAGCTGACATGTAGTCTTCAGCTTTGCGCTTCCCGACTTCTGTTCATTGAGGTTGATTGCCCTTTGCCTCCAACAGGAGGCAAAGTAAGGATTTCTTGTTTTCTGTTTGTCTTTTGTTTGTTCTACTTTTTCACTGGATTTTATTTTATTAATAAAAGTGTATTTTATTAATTTTCTTCACTGGAGTGGACATTAACTTCATTTTCCAGAACCCATCTAAGTTACCCTGTGTGGTAAAGTATGCTCTAATTTATTCTTTTGCAAAATACGTTCTTTAAAGACGATCCTTTAACTAAACTCTTGCTAAGAAATATAGCTAAGGGAGGATCCTGATCTTAACTTTGTTTAATTAGGGTGATTAAATAAAGGGAAATCAGCACAGTGTTTAGATGGATGTTAGAACTGAATTTAGAAATAGTTTTGGAAAAAAATCTTTACGCTTAAACAAAAAAAAAATATGTTGGCTAATGGATGTCTTCAGTGGAGTGTGTATAACACTGTTTCCTTATCCACGAAAGTAAAGGAGTAAAGAGAAAGTAAAAAGGCCGCATGGAGGAGGCTCATTCTTTATCCTCGCGCTGCAGATGCTCTGTTAAATTCTGTTTTCTTGCTAGTGAAGCGTTCAGTTTTTCCACTTACAAAGTCTGCCATGTAAATAGCAAATGCGCCATGGCATGATGCAAATGACTCTTAGGGCCTACTCACCCTATGCTATCTGAACTGTGCCCAGGCCTGTTTCCCGGATCGTTTGAGAAGTGTGAGTGCGCTGAATCTGGCTTAGGCACAGTTCACTTGGCCGGCCCTGGCCCGGTTGGAAGAGGTGAGCGCGGTTCACTTGGGCTTTGGCGCGGTACTATTGTAGTGTGAGTGCAAAACGCGCCTAAGCCCGAAACTTAAAGTGAGAAGTGAATTTTAAGGGACTGTTTCATATGGATTTATAAATCAATCTTACTGTTCAGTGAACGCAAACTGCCGTAGTTTATTAAAGACGCAAACCCCTCACTGCATGACAGCTGCACACCTTCAGCAAACCTCCTCGTTCCTGCAGCACGAGAGCATTATGACTGTTAATAAGCATCAAAAGTGCCGGATTTGTTCGGCGAAATATCTGACTGCGTGTCACCGCATCCCTAAAGACTGTTTGGTGAAATATTTGACAGCATATCACTGCGTAACAAACGACTTAAACGATATAACTAGAGAAATCTCCACTGTGCTGAGCGAGAGTGTTTACTGAACAGCGCAGCAGCGATGACGTAAGCGTGCCCAGGCCCGACTGTATGTGAGTGCGGGCCAACATGGAGACGGGAAGGGACCAGCGTGCTTTGGCCCGGTTTGAGGCAACTGTACATAGTGTGAGTACGGCCTTAAAGGGAATGTAAAATGAGACTGATTGGTTTAATGCTTGTTATGCTCAAAACACACCCAGAACACATTAGGAGATTAAGCACAACCCTGTTAGAACATGCGCCGGGGCCCAAACTGTATTTTTTCATCCTTAAAATAGCAAAAATGGATTCGGACATGGCCTTAATGCTTTTGCGTTATTTATATACCACATATACTATATAACTGCAGGTTAACTCTGTTTATATTTAATAACTTTAATTGTTAAAAGCTTTTAGTTATTAATGTTATTAGTGAAAAATAAAGTTATGGTAAGTAATAACCTTAACTTTTCTGATTTTGATTGTAATGCAATAATGTGCACCTTTTGTAAAGCTGCTTTGACAATAATTATTGTAAAAATATACAAATATTATACAAATAAACTTGAATTGAATCATTTGAAAACAACATTTTTGTCATTAGTTATGAAGCAGCACACCTTTCAAAAAAAAAAAAAAATATATATATATATATATATATTGTATTCTTAAAGTTTAAAAAGTAAAGACAAATATATGGTGTATACTGTGTTTTTATTTTGTCATAAGCGGCTCATGAGACCAGTTATAAGACAAGCACAACGAAAAGCATTACAAATCATTTGTTCATTAAAACTAAACTAAAATTTAAATACTAACAATTTAGGTAAAGACAAAACAAAACATTTAAACATAATAAAAACTAACTAAAAATAGACAAAAACACATTTAACTCCATCAGACATGCAAACATTTAGCTCAAATTGTAAAAAAAAAAAAACTGATAATGTAAAACTAAACTATAGAAGTATATCTTTAATACTGAAGCAGTTTTTTATTAACTGTAATTATATTTCACAAAAATGACTGTTTTACTGTATTGCTGATCTTGATAAAAACTGAAATGTAAAAACCGTTTACACTAATCTCATGCAACAACAGTTATGAATAATAATGAATATGTTTGGACTAACTTGCTGATCCCACGGTGTTGGTGTTCTGATATTCAGCACAGAAACAGCCTTCTCGATCATGCCCAGGAAAATGACTCCTGCAATCCAGAACTGGATCCTCAGCAGATCTTTCCAGTAGCAGGACGACCAGACAAACCAGAGCACAGCGTAAAGGATGTACACCATACACATCACCATGTAGAACTGAAGAGAAACGACAGAAGTGTTTTATCCCTCGTTTAACCAAGCCTTTATTGCTATAATGTAAAACACAAGTAATGATGCTGTAATTAGGGCCAAGTATCAACTTCTTTAGAGAACAGTTGCATAAAATGATAATTTTGGTTTTGTTCTATACAAATTATACAGGCAAACTATTTTTTTTTTTAAATCCAATATGAGTTTTGGAAAAAACAAAAAACAAGACATGAATTCATTTTCCATATAAACATAAACAGCACATTTAGGGCCTATATATCTTTTACAAACATGCAGAATATCCCATATTCTATTCAAAAACGTAAAACCACTTATAATAGCTAACACATAGACTAATCTCACATAGCCTATACGTCAGATATATGGTCAAATGATGATGTAAAATGTACATCTATTTATCCCTCTACTGCACGGTGTCACCATATGGTAACATGATACTTATGTTTTATTCCCTGCAACTGTTTCTGCAAATGTAAACGTCAATAAAAACAAAGGAACAAATTCAGGGTTCTTGCACCCTTTTAAAAGTAAAATTTAATGCTTTTTAAGACCTCAACAAATGAAATTTAAGACCCAAAAATTTTATCATTTCTTTGGAATAGGCTACTCATTTTAATCTTCTCATTAGATTTAAATAAATTGTGCCTCGTCACAGTATGGATAACCCAAAGTGGTGAAATGAAACTGCTATAGCTGACTGTGAGGGGGCGTCTGAACTAGAGCTGTAAACATGATATAAAAGTTAGGCCCGATAGAGCCCGAACCCGACAAGTACATTTTGATTGACAGCTTATTTTAAAAGCCCGAACCCGTTTATAGCCCGACATTATCCAAATGTGCACAGGCACACAGCTCTTTTGTCTTTTTTCATGAATGAGTTGTGTGGAAATATAAATTTATATCATCTAATTTCAAATGAACATTAATCTATATATAACTAAAAAGTTATATATTCTCTGGTTTTAATTATATAATTTCATTAACATCCCAGCTAGGAGGGACATTAACTTTTTGTCTTTCTGACTACAGGCTAAACCAAAGTAATGCAAATTGTTAGTTTCACAGCATGGTTGTGTCTATTGTTTTCTCTTTTCGATCAACTGGTCAGGCGGTTTCTGTCTCCAGAACATGATGAGACCAGGCCTGAAAAAGCAGTTTACCCTGCCGACCACAACTCTTAATTTGCATGCTGTGTTTAGCCATCTCCCCTCCTCATAAGAACACGATATAGACATGAAATCTTTGTCTTAATTCAGACTTGTGAGAGACTTTTGAGAGACTTGTGAAAGAACTTGCAGACTGCGGACCTCTAGTAGGCTCTTGCAGACACATGGACATCTTAAAGACGATGTATGACTGCAGATCAACCAACACGTCTCAATAAAGAAATTCTGCTTGTTTCGAGTCTCCTGGACTGGGCTCTCTTCTTCTTCCATCATTTATTTTTTTACAGTTGTTTATAAGGGTTATTATCACTTATTCATAACATAGACTACAGGCCTAACATTAGCAACAAGTAACATTGTTAGGTCGAGCTGCAAACAATGCAGGGATTAACCTGGACCTGCTATGACAAGCTGCTGCAACGTCCCGGTGCTGCTTTCCTCCTTTCATGCGCGACTTGACGACTTTGAGCCCCTTCGTCCCTAACGAAAAGGTCTTTTTGCAGAATTTACACATTGCCTCTTTGCCATGTTGTTAAATGTACAATTTCCCATCTTTGCATTTTGACACATCAACAACCGCATAATAACAGCACACAGGTGCAGACTGATGTAAGCGTCTGCTGTAGCTGACCTACCGTCATGAGCTAATAAATCACGGAGACTGTCATTTCTCTCCTGTTTTACAAGTGCTAAATTAATCAACTATTAGATGTTTTACGGTGGGCCACTGTGCTTCCCTATCGTCATTAAGCACACCGGCTGAAAATTTAATACCTACAGCCACTTTACGGTAAAATTTAAGACAATTTAAGACCATAATTTCCCGGATTTTAATTTAAGACATTTTAAGACTTTTTAAGGACCCGTGGGAACCCTGAAATTATGTCAGATCCTCAAAGAAATCTGAAACTTCACTCATTGTTTAGCGGACATTTGCGCTAAACACGCAATGAATGCAACGCATTGAGATTCGGCCACCTTCTCCGAAAACACTCGACTGATCTCAGCTGGCAGATCGACAATTACCACATGATCGCTGTCATTGGTGGCATTATTTGTAACTTTAGGTGGGTTTAGCAAACCTGTGCACATTTCACTCTTTAGTCGTTGGCATTTCACGCAGTTACAAAAGCTCCTTGTCATCTGACTGCAGAAAGCCTTGAGTGATTGACAGCTAATATGAACCAATATAGCGTCAGGAAAGACCGATTCAGCATGTTTTTAGAAAAAATCAAAATAGGTCACACTACAACCATTTTATGCAGTTAAATAAATGCGCCCAAATATATCATGAGGTCGCATAAATGAAATTTTGTGCACATTTGCAACCAAAATGGCAATTTCTAGCCCAAGGGTTTGTTCTTTATAGCTCGCTTAAATGATCTAAGATGATTTGGCAGATCCTGGATCTGTTCATCTTGATAACTGATTTCTGGCTAATTTGGTTCTTAAAACAAGTTCGTGAATCAGATTAGAATGTCTGGATGAACTGATCTGAGATCGCTGTTTGTGTTGTGAAGGACTGATCTAAAGATCCTCGAAATCATGATCAGCAATGCAACGATTGGCTGACAGCACAGAAGCGTAATGACATCATCTGATTAATATTCAATTATCCATGTGAGCTAAATTACATCAAATTTGCAGTAAACTGTTGGTTAAATATGACACGCAATAACTTTACACCTTGTTGTGGGCTGCGTGCTTGGCCCTTTCATGTGTCAAGAGCAGTTTATTTAGTTTTACAGTTACAGTACAGTGGATTTTCCTTATAATAGTAGTATTATAGTAGCCGGTTTTTTAGACAGTCTAAAGAATAACTGGATGTTTAAAAAAGCATTTTAATATTGGTAAAGGCGTCTGCAACTTTTAAGAAGCATCAAATCACTGTCATATTAGCTGTCAAAACATGTTTATGAGTGCATAAATGTATTATTGCTTTTAAAAAAAGTCACATATTGTAATATATGATATATATATATATATATATATATATATATATATATATATATATATATATATATATATATAT